CGCTCTGCCGTGGGTTTTTTCCAGGGAGGAAAAATCCACGCGGATTTATCCTGCCCGGCTCAAGCGTGCTGGACCCTGCGTGCATGGCCGTGACCTGGCGCGGAGGGGAGAAAAACCAGCGCCGTGTCCTGCGCCGCGACTCTGCTCTGTTTCTCGCAGGGAGGAAAAAAAAAAAAAACCCACACGAGGGGAAAAAACACGCGGTCGTAGCCTGCCTGGCTCAAGCGTGCCAGACCCCGTGTGCTTGGCTGCGACCTGGCGTGGAGGGGGAAAAACCAGTGCCGTTCTGCGCCGTTGCTCTCCTGTGCCGCAGTTTTTTCCAAGGAAGGGAAAAAAAAAAAAAAATAAACGGGGTGGGGAAAAAAAAAAAGCTGTGGTGTGCCCGGCTCAAGCGTGCCGTGAGTGCGCCGAACCCCGCACTCTTGGTCGTCATCCAGTATGAATTGGGGGAAAAACTGGCAGCGTTTTCCTGCGTGGTGGCTCTGCTCTTCCAGTAAAGAAAAAGAAAAACCAAACTAAACCCACGGGTGGGGGGAAAAAAAAAAAAACAAAAAACAACAAAACCAACCACGCAGCCAAAGCCTTCCTGACTTGAGCGTGCGGCGAGCGCGCAGGGTAACCCACGGCAGAAACTTCACCGGCAGCGCTTTTTGGCCTGGGGAAAGGCCCCTTCCTCTTGACTTCCAGGGAAGGCAGCGATTGTCCCCACTTAACCGGTTTAGCATTTAAATTGTCCCAATTCTGCTCCGCCTTTGCATGGCTCTGGGGCGATGGGCTGGGGGGAAGGGTTTCCGCACTCCGGCTCCCACCCTTGAAGCGAGCAGAGCTTGGGAAGCGAGCAGGGAAGCGAGCAGAGTTTGGGAAGGAGCTTTTTCAACTTTACGGTGAGCGTTCGGGTCTTTGTGGTGCTGGTGTGGAGTGAGCTGGGGAGGGGGGGAAAGAAAAAATTATCTTTTTTTTTTTTCTTTTTTTTCCCCTCCCTGGTGAGCTTGAAAACACCCAAGCGGGTTTTTGGGGAGGGCGGTGGGTTTTTAGGGAGCGCTGCCGGCTTGGTGAATGGATGGATTCATGTTTTGGGAGGAAAAGGGAAAACTTTGAAAAATCTGGGGGTTTTTTGGTGAGCGAGGTGGGGGATGTGGCACCGATCTCCCTCCCCTCCCCCATCCGCGCCGGCTCATGTTTGGTTGGGTTTGGGTTTTTGGTGGGTTGAGGTGCCGGTGGGTGATGCCGAGCTCGATGCCAGGGTGCGAGTGGGGGATTTGGTGTCATTCCCGGCGCAGGGATTTCGGCGCGGGTCTGGTGAGCAAAGGTTTGGATCAAGCTGGCGAGCGCGGTGCCGAAGGGATGCTGCCATTTATCGTCGGGAAAAGGGGACGGTGGTCCTCGAGGGATGCCGGATTCTCTCCCGGAGTTGGCTCTGATCAAAGCCACATCCCAAAAAAACCCCACAGCTTTTAAAAATAAACCCATTTTATGGGTTTTTTCACCCATTCTTGCCTGGATGGATCCCCCCTGGCTTGGGAATGTGCCGGGATCTCCGGCTGGGCTGAGATGCAGCTGCAATTAAAAAGCAAAACCCCACGATGGGTTTTTCCCCCCTGTGGATCCCAGGTTCCCCTGCCTGTCCCCTGCCTGTCCCCTGCCTGTCCCCTGCCTGTCCCCTGCCTGTCCCCTGCCTGCATTGCCAGCACATTGCCACCACGCACCCGGCACGTTGCCGTGCCTCTTTATTCCCTCTGCAGTGGGATGATGTGTTTTGGGGTGACTCCTCGCCGTGTGACGGCACGTTGGAAAACACCGAGAGAAACGCCGGCACCGTGCCAGCTGCCGAGCTCCCATCCTGCCCACACCACTTGATGCGGAGGCTTCTCCGATGCTCCTTGCTGGCACGATGGATGAGCCGCCGTGGCACGATGGGAGAGGCGGTAAGAAGGGAACGCTGTGTGCGTACAACCGGATTTAAGCCGGGCGGTGGTTAAAAATGACACCATGGTCCGCTGGTTTCCCCCGGTAAACCAGTGTGGGGTGAGCGGGTGGCTTCATCCCAGCGGAGCATTCCTTATCCCAGCCCACCGGCACAGAGCCAACGCCACGGCAAACCCCTAAACATCCCCAAATTTGGGGTTTGCTCTGCAAAAAACCCTCTGTGGACGTGGGGGGAAGCATCGATGTGGCACCGCTCGTCAGGGTGAGAGCATCCCGCCGGCGCGGCGCGGGCATCGGGTGCCATTTGGATGCGACGCTGGAGGAATATCCGTACAAACTGAAGCCAGCCAGAGCAACCGATCCTCACGGAAGAAAGATGCCAGCGTGTGGAGCCAACATATTTTTAATTGATTTAATTGAATTTCTATTTTCATTTCTTATTGGTGAACTAAACCAAGTTGGCTCCGGGCGCCGTTCCCTGGGGAAGCCACGGGCACCGGCTGCTTTTGGGGCGGGAGAGATTTTGGAGTGGCTGCCGGGTGCTCTCCTCCCTTGGCCCCGGGGCGGGGAAACATCTTGCGCCAGCTCGAATAATTCCCTCTTCATTTGCATTCTTTACCTTGAAGGTATTTATAGTCTCTTCTCTGCCTTCTCCTTCCTCGTCGGGGTAAATTTAGCTCCTTCGTTCTCCTCCTGTGCCTTTATCCTCCGGCGGAGCTGATAAGCCCGGCTTTTTAGCGCCTCTTTCCTCATATTTTTCCCTTCTCTGCCTGCCCGGGTCAGGATTTGACCCGGCATCTCCATCCTGCAGAGATCAGGATCCTGAGCGCTCTCCTTTATTTCTCCCAGTGATTTTATTTTTCACCCTTTAACCTGGACCCGCGGCAGCATCGGGTAGTGGAAAGCGTTTTGGGGTGATGGTTTATTTTTGAGGGGGTTCCACACTTGGGTGGCTGGTACCTGCTTGCCCCCCCAGGGATCCCCAAGCTCTTTGAGGGGTCCCCAAACCCTTCAAGGGTCCCCCAGCATGAAGGTACCACTTTGCCCCATCCGCCTGAATTCATACGGGGGTGGGGGTGGGGGGAAGGATGCAGCACAGCATCCCAAAATTCCCCCCCAACGCCCTGGTTTTGGGGGCAGCCACCCCAATTTTGGGGCTGCTGGTGGCAGAGCAGAGCTCCCAGGGTTGCAAACCAGTGGCTTTCCCAGCGCTGCATTGTGGGATGGAATTTTTTGAGGGGATAAATAATCAATTTGAGGCCAACTGCGGATTTTTGGGCTCTACGTGGCAGGGGATGGAGGCAATGCTGTTCCCCCAGCAAATCGTGGCGTAGATGGAGGGGGGGAAAAAAGCTTCATATTGGGGTGAAGCAGCACCTTTTGGAGTCCTTCCACTCTGGCAGGGACCCAGCACTGTGTCGGCTACCACCAGCACCTATTTTTGCAAGGGGAGAGCGATGGGACCTGATGTCTTGCCCAGCTCTGGGACACTGAGAACTTTGGTGACCACAGCGAGGCACCGAGACCGTTGGGTTTCCCAGCACGGGCAGAGCTGCGACCATTTCTCCACCACCTCTGCAAAATCCAGCCCCTTTTTCTCATTTTCTCATCTTTTATCTCTTATTTCTTGTAGATTTTGCTGGCAGTCCCTGGCCACCAACCCTCCAGAGTGCCGGCACGGTGTTTTTTTCCGAGTGACACAGCACAATCGGCGAGGGATGGAGAAAGCTGTCCCTAATTTCTCAGAGCGCCAAGGAGATGGAGGCAGAGCCCTGTTAATGACACCGGAGCCAAACAAAGAGACTTTTCCTGCCCTTGAGTGCCCCCAAGGCGAAGAACGAAGAGCCGCGTTCCTTCAAGATGCAAAAAAGCCCCTGGAGAACCCAGCTTTATCTGGGACGTCGGTGGAAACGGAGACGGAGCTTGAAGAAGATGCTTTCTATGCCGCGGATGATCTGGCAACGATGAGCAGGGAGGGGAAGGGACCCTCCAGTGCCGAGCTGCGCCCATTGCAGGAGGACCCCGACTTCTTCTCGTCGCTCTCCCGTCAGGAACCTGACGTTGCCCTGGAAGCACACGACGTGGCCGGTAAGTCCCCGGTTGGCACTGTTGGGGGTGGCTTCATGGGGGACGGGGACGTCTCCCAATGCTTTGTGTGTGCCCGGTGATGTTCGGGTTGATTCGGTTGGTTTGCCTGGTGGTCGCACCATCGCGCCGGGTTGGTTTTGAGTGTTTGGTCTTTTGTTGTCGGAGGTGTTCCCCAACTCTCAGCAGCTTGCGGTGAAACGGGAACCGTGGTACGGTGACAGACGTGGATTTGATGGAAAGAAAAATGAGGGTGTGAATGCCGGGCCGGCATCGCCGCGCCGCTGCCTGGCTTCAGCACCACAGACAGGCGCAAAACCCGATGGTGGGTCAAGCCAGTGGCTTTTTGGAGATGCCTCATACCCTTGGCGTGGTGTTGGGTCCCCAAACGGGGACGCCTTGCCCGTCCCCATGCAAGGTGGTCGTGCTCCACCGCGTGTTGGCATGGGATCGGTGCTGTGTCGGGAGAGAGCAGATGGGGGCTGCGCTGTGGTGGCGGGGACCTGTGTGTTTTCAGTATTGCTGGTGAAGCCGCGGTTGCGCCGAGCAGAGTGAAACCGTGCCACCTGCGCCTCGCTGAATTCCCCTCTTGTCGAAACGGAAACGCTCCTCCAGCTCTGCCGAGGGCAGCTGTGCGCTTGCAGGGTGAAGGCATTGTCCTCTGCCTCACCCCTTGGTGCCGGGGAAGCTGTGCCGTGAGGGAGATGGGGGATGAGGAGCTCTGGCAGGGACTGGTTGGCACCCAGTGCTGGTGTGGAGATGTACTGGGATGTCCTTGGCATTGTGGAAACCCCCCTGTGCGTGCTGGATGCTCTGGCAGGGGATGTCCTGCTGTGGGGTGGGGGATCTGTCACCCATGGGAGATTGCGTTAGGTCCGTCCTTGACTCTGCTCCAGGAAAAACTCCTGAGGGCTCTTTGAGCAGAGAGGTTTTCACAGAATGGCTTGGGTTGGAAGGGACCTTCAAAGATCATCCAGTCCAACCCCTTGCCAACCACTAGATGAGGTTGCTCAAAATCTCATTCAACCTGACCTCAAACACTTCCAGCGATGGAGCATCTGCATTTCTCTGGGTGGCCTGGTCCAGTGTCTCACCACCCTCAACATAAAACATTTCTTCCTTCTGTCCAATCGAAATCTACCCTCTTCCAATTAAAAACTGTTGCCCCTTGGTAAAATGTCTTTCTCCGTCTTTCTTATAAGCCCCTTTTTATATATGGAAAGGCCATGAGAAGGTCTTCCCAGAACCTTCATTTCTCCAGGCTGGACAACCCCAACTCTATGAGCCTTTCTTGATAAGGAGAGATGCTCCAGCTCTTGGATCATCTTCATGGCCTCCTCTGGACCTGCCCTAACAGGTCCTTCTCCATGAGGCTGCTCTCAGTCCCCCAGTTTGTGATACTGGAGATTGCCCCAACCCAGGTGCAGGACCTCAAATTTGGCCTCGTTGAACTTCATGAGGTTCACGTTGGCCCACTTCTTGGATCATCAAGAAGCCACGTTGGCCTGTTGAGGCCTTCTGGATGGCATCCCTTCCCTCAAGGTATCGACTCGGTTTGGTGTCACCCACAAACTTCCTGAGGGTGCGCTCAATCCCAATATCCATGTTGTCTATGGGGATATTAAATAGTACTGATCCCAGTACGGACCCTTGAGGGACACCACTTGTTAGTGGTTTCCACTTGGATGTTGAGATGGTGACTCTTTGGATGCACCTATCCGGCCAATTCCTTATCTATTGAACGCGGCTGTTGCAAGTTGTCTGTAGATCCCCAGTTGTCCAGCGTCTGTCCCCTGTCTACATTAGAGGATCAACCCTCTCCTGCCTCGACTCTCCATTTCAATGCCAAACGCTGGCCAGGTGCCTCCACCATCCCAAGTCCTACCTGAACCCTTCCAAGCATTTGCAATCCTCCTGTCCTTCCCCATCCCTGGGTCCACACTGGAAAATGAGGTGGATGGTGGCCACGGATCCCACCACTGGCTGGTGATTTGCCTCATGAATTGTCTCCTGGCTAGAGGGTGGCTTTTGATTCTTTGACTCTTCTTCAACACTGCTTCCCTGTGATGAGTTTGCCTGTCTCCACAAACTCCAGTTGACTTAAAACCTTATCTCTTGGTGCAGGCGATCTGTTCGGTGCCTCCCGCTGTTATTTACCCACCACGAGGTGGGTGGGGAAGGACTGTGTTGCATCTGGGAAGCTTTTCAGCTCTCTGTTCTTTCACCGTGGTCAATGGGCGGAAAATTAGCTCTGGGGGATGAATGCTGGTGTTTAAAGATGGTTTTTAAAGAAGGAGGGTGTTGGTCCCCAAAAAAGAGCAAGGGCTTGTGGTGGGAGATGGAGAACGTCCCCTTCCGGGTGTCCAACCTGGCTCTGGATGGGTGGTGGAGATCATTTGGGGTCCTGGGGTGCTTTGGGTGGACCCAGCTCCGGCCCTGCTCATGGGCAGACTTAAAGGGATGGAAGCCCCCATCATGGCATCCCAAGCTCAAAAAACCATGGTGAAATGGCCCAAAATGCCCCAAAATGGAGGCTAAGACGGGCACGCCAGCCTAAGGGTCTTGCGGGCTTGCGGTGCCGCCAACCTCAAGGTTTTGGGGCTCTTCTGATGCCTCCAACAGCCTCATCACAACAAAATTAGCCCAACATCTTCCGAGCATCTCTGACCATGAGCCAGAGGTGGTTTGGCAGCTGCCGGTGGGTTTTTGGAGCCAGGCAGAGTCCACGCTGCTGCCGGGAGGTCAGCAAGCGATCACCGAGGGAGATGTTCCTCTCATCAAGGGTGGCTTTTGGGGTGCCGCTGGTGCCGAGCCGTGCTGCTCGCGTGCCGGAGAGCGCCGAACTGGTGCTGCCGGTGGAGAGGCAGCACAACCCACGATGGACGATGGTGCAGAAGAGTTGGAAGAATCATGGCAAGCGAGTGGCATCCGGGCTCTGCAGCGCGTGGGCTCGTTAGTGGAGGAACGAGCACCGGGGTGGCTCGGGCAGCTGCTCCGTTCTGCCCGACTGAGCTTCGAGCAGGCAAGGAGGAAGGAGCCGCTGCCGGGGCTTTCCCATCCCCGGTCGTGGTACCCGAACCATCACCCTGTTTTCGGCTGGAGGCACCATGAGTGATGGGGGCTGGGAGCCACAGGGCCCCTTCTGGTGGCTTTTTGGTGGCCTTGTCTCCCCTCCTTGCTCTTTAGGGGGATGTTTGGGCTGCTCACTGGGATTTTTTTTGGGGTGCTGTGCCGCACAGAGGCTCTTTTAGATGCGGTTTGGGTAATTTGTTGTTGTGAACGGCAGCAGCGGGGTTGAAGATGCTCTAACCTTCACCCCATCCTTATTTTGGGGCTCATCCCTGTCCCCCCATGGGGTGAAGAGGGGGGTGCTGCTTCTGCGTGGGACCCAACGAGGTGGGATCCAAATCGCTGAGCCTTTATCTCCAAGCCTCGGTTCCCTCCTTGTTTCCCAAATCGCCGGCACCCTTATCAATCCACACCCGGGGGGGGGAGGTATCAGCGCGGGGATCGGCAGGGTGGTTGGAGCTGTGGTTGGTCACAGCTCCACCAAACCTTGAGCTTTTGCTTGGTTCTTCCTCCTTTACACCATGCATGGCATTGCCCGGGGAGGTCACCTGGCTGCGGGTCCCCGCTGGCGACGGAGCACCAGGCCGGAGGTTTCGCCATGGGTGCGTGGGGAGGTTTTGGAGGAGGATTTGCTGGGGGACGGGTGGGTTTGGGGTTGTGCTTTCGGCTGCACGTGTGGGAAGGATGGCGCCCAGCTCCTCCCCGTGCTTGGGGGTGGTGCTACGAGGTCCCCGATGTGGGGACATCCTGCTTTGGCAATGCTGCGGCAGCGTAGGGCGTCACTGTGATCCCCAATGTGGGGACGTCCTGCTTTGGGGATGCCGTGGCAGCATAGAGTGTCATTATGGTCACTGATTTGGGGACATCTTGCTTTGGGGATGCTGTGGTGATGTAGGGTGTCACGAGGTCTCTGATTTGGGGACATCCTGCTCTGGAGATGCCATGGCAGCACAGGGTGTCATTATGGTCACTGATTTGGGGACATCTTGCTTTGGGGATGCTGTGGTGATGTAGGGTGTCACAAGGTCTCCAATTTGGGGACATCTTGCTTTGGGGATGCTGTATGGTGTGGGATGTCACTGTGGTCCCCGATGTGGGGACGTCCTGCTTTGGGGATGCTGTGGCAGTGTAGGGTGTCATTATGGTCCCTGATTTGGGGACATCCTGCTTTGGGATTGCTGTGGCAGTGTGGGGTGTCACTGTGGTCCCCAGTGTGGGGACATCTTGCTTTGGGGGTGCTGTGGCAGTGTGGGGTGTCACAAGGTCTCCAATTTGGGGACATCCTGCTCCAGGGATGCCATGGCAGCATGGGTTGTCATGATGGTCCCTGATTTTGGAATGTCCTGCTCTGGGATTGCTGTGGCATTGTGGGGTGTCACAAGGTCCCCAGTATAGGGACATCTTGCTCTGGAGGTGCTGTAGCAGTGTGGGGTGTCACTGTGGTCCCCGATATGGGGACATCTTGCTTTGGGGATGCCGTGGTGATGTGGGACATCATGAGCTCCCCAGTACAAGGATGTCCTGCTCTGGGGATGCTGTGGCAGCACATGGTGTCGCCAGGGTCCCCAATGTGGCAGTGTGGGGTGTCACCAAGGTCCCTAACACAGGGACATCCTGCTCTGGGGATGCTGTGACAGCGTGTGGTGTCACCAACGTCCCCGATGTACCAGCGTGTGGTGCCACGAGGTCCTCAGCGCAGGGACATCCTGCTCTGGGGATGCTGTGGCAGTGTGTGGTGTCACCAAGGTCCCCAACGTAAGGGACAGCAGGATGCTCTGGGGATGCTGTGGTGGTGTGGGTTGTCACCAAGGTCCCCGATGCAGCATGTGGTGTTACCAAGGTCCCTAATGCAGGGACAATCTGGTCTGGGGATGCCGTGGCAGCGTGTGGTGTCACCAACGTCCCTGATGTAGCAGCATGTGGTGCCACGAGGT